TAAGACCAAACGACTAACTTCCACCAAGATAGGATGACAAACTTCAACCTAAATAGGACGGTCAATGCCATCGAGACCGCATGATCTACTTTTATTAGGACCAAGCCACTAACGTCGATTGAGACCAAATGACCGCCTTCAATTGGGATTGGACCTCCAAGCACCGATTGGTGGTCAAGTCTTAGTCAACATTAGCGATTTGATCCTGGTGAAAATTAGTTGTCTGATCTTGATCAGTATCAACAGTCTACTCTTGTTTGAAGTCTCTTATCAAATCTCAATGAAAGTTAGCTTTATGGTCCCAATCAATGTATATGGTCTAATTTCAATTGAAGTTAACAGTTCAATCCCGATCATTGCCAATGGTTTGATCCCATTCAACACGAATAGATCTTTTTTCCCATTGTGGCCACCTCTCTAGTCCCTTTAGACACTAACAGTACGATTAAGATTAGACCACTAATATCTAAGTTACTTTTAAATTCAAACATAGAATTTGAAACTTATTAAAATTTTAATATTATAATTTAAAATTTTTTATATCACTCAAATAAAAAATTTAAAATTTATAAATTCAAATGTGAAGTATCAAATAAAATATTTCAAATTCAAACCTTCATTAAACAAGCTTTCCTTTCTTCTTGTAATTTCTTCAACTGCATTAGTGCAATACAGCTATTTATTCTCAATAAAGGATAAACTGAAATCGTCCCACTAGCAAGAGCCAAGTAATTCATCTCTTTGCTTGTACTCCCACGAAAAGGAAGTTCAACATAATAATATATAGCAAGTTGTACTATTCACACGACTCGTCTCTTTAATTCCATACAATCCAGAGGCCTACCTAACTCGGATTATATCTTGGAAGTGAAATATTCATAGAAGCAGACTTAAGAAAAAAATGAATATCACTAAAATTATTATCATGAATGGACCTACACATACAAATGAAGCAATCAACAAACACAAGAAGGCAAAAAGTGAAGTTGCTCTACAAGCGGTTTACAACCGTGGGACAGCTCGAGTGAAATGACAAAATGTTGAAAATGGCGTACTCTGTAACTTGAACTAATCTTTCAATGTGGTATGTGATATAGCTGGCATTGTCACAAGGAAGGCCGATCAGTGTTTTGAGAACATCCCTTGCGTTAAAGCGGAAAAGTCATAGTCCTTTCCTGACGACGGCTGTGAAGGAGTCGATGATGCCGGAGCTGCTGCCTGAGGTTTGCTCACTCCTGGCGTTGCTGTACCGTTAACTGGAGCAACTTGTCCCATCATATAGAAACTGCAACAGATGGCAACCAAATTAACAAAAACCTGAATAGAAGTGATTCACATCAGCAGCTACATTAGGTTTAATGTAGTAGAGGGTCAAGTAAAAAAGAGAACAGAAGGCATCAGAGAAGACAGAAAGAGGACGATTGGCATTTTTTAGATAGATGAATACAGCCACTGCAGATCATGTAGAAACAAAATGCAATATGGACGCGTTAGATTAATGAGATCATATTTGTTGTATTGGTTTGTGACTTGTGATTGTACTACGTCAATATGGCAAATCTTCCCTGACCTAATCCCAGTGAATCCAAAGGAAATATTGCCACAAAAGAATGCCTCCCATTGGCTGGCCCTTTTAGGATGGAATTTTTGCATTAATAATAAATCCAGCGCATAAAGGAGCAAAATTAGTAGATGACTTTAGTGAATTTTCCCTCAATGCTAACGCATCAGCCATAGCTGAGAGAAATACTGGATGAACAAAACAAAGACCTTATGGCCGGAAACAGAACCCCAGGAGAGCCTTTTAGTACAGCATTTTACAAGCAACAACTGTCAATTAGTTTGAGAACCATAGCTTTTTAACCCATCCAACATGACCAGTCATGTGATATTATGAGTCAAACAAAATGAAAACAATTTACTTGATTTACAGTGACTTACCCGGATGGATATTGAGCACCACTTCCTGCAGGTTGGGCTGGAGGCATGCTCCCAGTCTAAATCAGAAGGGAAATAAGTTAGGTGAGGGATGAAAACAAAAAAAAATAACTAATCAAGTCACGCCTTAGTTGAGAACCTGCATGAGTTTCAATAGCTCAGCCTGATCAGGCATTGGCACAACTCCAGGAATAGAGTAGCCAACACCTGGCCAACCTTTGTACAGCAACATTGGACCCATTCACTCCAGATTGTTGTAAACCACCAAGATTCTTGTGGTCCCCGCCAGCAGATTTAGCCGCGGCAGCCATTAGAAGGGACTGTTGCTGTGCCAGCATGGCAAGTTGTTGTTGGTGCATTGCAAATGGAGACACCATACTGGACTGCAGATATCCATCCCGATGGTCAAGTAAACCAAAATGCATAAAGGACAAGAATAAAATCCACTAGAACTATTGTCTGAAACTTAGAAGATCCTAACATCATAAATAAAGAACTAAAGGTGACAACTTCTCAAATAAGAACAAAATCTATATTTCTATAAGTATTAAGTCAAAAAAAGTAGGACAGTGCATAACAATTGTTTTGAGGTACATACCTTCTCAAAGAGGCTCATTATATCATTTTTTACATCTTTCTGTTGTTTTTCTGGAACTAAGCTTGGTGTCACCGAAGGTGAAGATGAATCTTTAAATAGATCCTCAATTCCGGAAGCAGGTGGAGTACTCTCAACT